CAAAACCACGCTGCAGGAGTTACCGATCAGTGACCCAGAAATGGAGTCAGATCGTAACCGGCAGTAATAAAAACAATTTCTACAAGAATACCGACAGTATTAAAGAAAACATCGTTAAAAAGACCAGCTACACTGTAAGAGTTACCCGGGTCAGTGACTCAGAAATGGAGTCAGGCCGTAACCGGCAGTACTACAGCAGGCTCATAAAGACGACATTTTTTTTCCAAATTCGCGGCACCCAAATTATTTTTGTGTCTACACTTTTGGACTTCATATAAATTTTTCTTATCATTAAGCCGCAAGTCAAATCTAAGACTTGAAAAATGGTGCTTCGCAAGATCTGGTTTGCGCTAACCCAGTGTTAATTAGAGTGGGGCGTTGTCTTCTTGCGGACAGCGTTCCAGTGTACTAGCACTATAAAGTCCTCAATATAAGTAGGCTAGCACAAAGCAGTCAAAATTATAAATACAACCTTTGGTTTTTTATTTATTTTATTTTATTTTCTTTTATTTACTCATCTTTTTTTTTTGTACATATAAAACCTTTTTACTAATTATTTTTACATACACATATTTAGGCCTATTTCGGTTTATACAACATATTTGGCAACTAAATTCACATACACAATTTGGCATCAAATTTATCCACTGTTTATACTTGGCTGCTGGTGTACCAGGACAACGTTACCGCCGCTCACTGCCGTTTGCTTGGCCCAGCTTTCCGACTCCTGTTCTTTTGGTGGCTCCATTTTATTAAATTTCTTTTTTTTTATTTATTTACTTTTTTATTCTTATATTTTCTTTGGTTTTCTATAAAAAATTCATTTTCATATTCTTTCATTTTATTCTAAGTTCTATTTTATTTTCATCATTTATTTTTATTCATCACTTTATTATTTATTTATTAATTTAGTTATTCTATCCTTCAAATTTTTACTCACTTTTACTTTTTATTCATAATAGGTTTTCTCTTATTTGTCATTCTAAATTACATCAATTACCTTATGGTAAAAATTAGATTATTTAAATGCCCAAAAATTCGCAAGCCAGGGCCGACCATGCGAGGCTGTATAGCCAGTCAAGGTAGGTAAAAACTTCCATCATCATCCTACATTTGTGCATTAGTTTTTGTTTTGTGTTACCTTGATACATCATCAAATTCAGAAACCATCGGTACATGTAAATTAATTTATTCCTAAAACTTGACAGAACGTTTAAGATTCAAATGAAAACACGGGTTCTCAAGAACAAATTGTGTAATAGACTCTTACTGATAAATACATCAAATACATTAAAAATAACACAGCACACATACAAAACTGAAAACTACAGTAATATCCACATGCACCGCTTAAAAAAAAAGAAGGGTGAATTAAGAGGTTCCGAAGGGTAACACGTTCCTGCATTAGTATTGGCGTTCATCGTGTTGGTGGTGGCTAGTAAAAATTCTGTGCGAAATCGCATTTGGCGAAGTTACAGTCAAGAAAAAGAGGACGTAATTGTAGCTAAGATAAGCGGAACACTATCCTTTGTCATCTGTGGAACAGATCTAGATATTTCATTATGGTCAACCAAATCATGATCGTGTCTGTAGACTTTCGAAGGGATGACTTCATTTTTTGTTATTAGGAACCCTTGGTTCAAAAGCTTCCTTGTAGGCAGCATCCCTCATAGAAAATTAACCGGAAGATATATATTCCAGAAACTGGCGCTGTCGGAATCTTGCTACAGTTAAGTTCTTAATCGACCTTCATTGTCAATGTCTAGATGAAAGTCAACATTTGAATGTGTGCTATGAAATATTTATTTGAAGTTCAATATTAACTTCATGTCAAAGACATTTTTCTTGAAAAGCTCATGTACGAAGTCTTTCCAAAATGAATAAAGAAACAAGTCGACAAGAAAGAGAGCACACTTATGGCTACCACAGGAATATGAGTCTGATGAATACCTTGTCAAACAAAGATATGTTGTCAATAAAAAAAAACAAGATTCGTGATGGTATCAGTTTCAGAGAACTTTCTGTTTGATTTGGAGTTTGGAGTTTGGTTTTGAAAGCGATTTCTTTGCTATCTTTCATTGTTGATTATCAATTTAGGTGAATTATCATCGTACCATACAATTCAATATAACATGTGTGCCCTATACAGATATTCATATTTTCAATTGAGAGTTACTTCCACTTTACAATACATATGCCAAAAAAATACTTTTTCCAACCTAATGGCGTTTTGGTAGTCAGTCATACAGTGATGACAATAAATCAAATAATGGATATCACAGTTTGGCCATATGTCAAAGTTTTTTCACATCTAAAATATTCCATACGCTGTACATAAGTTGAATATATAATTTTAGCTTGCTAACCTGCTAACATAAATAAATAACAAACGTTTCCAAATTCTTTCCGAGACATTAAGATTTGATTCTGATGTGGCATGTTATCTTTCTTCTGCATGAAAAGATAATTATGTGTTCTATACACAAAATAAAATTCAATTTTCAAATTGTCTAAACACAGATGAAGATAAAAAAAGAAGCATAATTTTCAATCAAATCTCCCTATTTCCACATTTAAATTTGGTAAAACTAATTTCAAAATATTTGTTTTCCTCATTACTGTATAGTTTACAACTTACAATTATGTTTGTTTATTAATATTTCTTGTTCAAATGATTTGTGTCCTAATGTATCTATGATTTTGACATTCTAGCAGGAAGTGATTGCTGTTTTCAATGGCTTGTCCAAAAAGTAAAACGCTACGCTATATTCACTTTCCTCAAATGTGACACAAGCATTTTCAATAGAAAATGATTCAAACTTAATAAAACGACTTTTGAAATACTTTTAAAAGTATATATCGTGTGTCTATAAAACACATAAATCTTTTGTAATAGTCATCAATGACGAATACGGTGGAACCCCCCCCCTTTTTGATCGGAAACAAAATATCCGTTTCTTTGGCAAACAAACTTCAGATAATTTTGCCTCGCTTTGCTTAGCGTGATTTTTACCTTTTCCGACGGGTTCATGATCGAGTTTTTTCATTTATGTTGCATTCTTTTTTCAGGTATATCATCGAAGATGACTTGAGATCAACAGAAACACCAATTCCAAATGGCAACAAAACTAAGTAAGAAGCAAATATAGCACCATATACGGCAACTCACACAAAATATTTATATATAGATAAAAATTGTATCATATATATGACTGTAATTTTATCTAGATTTCAATGTTTACCATATGATATAAACTATACACTGAGCATGTGATGTAGATAATTAACCTTATGATATACTTAATGAAAGGGACGATGGAAAATGGGGGATGATGAAAGGCAAGGATTATTAAGAACGTATCCTCCCGGATACAGGTAAAATTCTTTATAGATTTTGACAGGAGGGTGTGCTTGGCGGGTTTTCGCACTTTAGTGAATGTTTAAATTTTATCTACGATAATTATTAAGATCAAATTATAGGTCATGAACATGATTTCAAAGTAAATTCAGTATCTATAATTATATAATATATAATTAACTTGAATCAGTCATAACATTGTGTTCTGTTTGGGAAAAACATTCATTTTGTTGTGCTATTACACCACTGACCTATGTTAGCTCCCAGAAACATGTTTAACACCGCCGATTTATGTTCTATCTCATAATTCAGTAGTTGTCGATGAGTACTGTTTGTCATTTTTGTTTTTCGCTGATTTCATCATAAATTATGCGGATTAAATTATTTCACATTTTTTCATGGATTATCATTGTTGAAGGCCGAACGGTTACCTTGAGTTGCTTTTGTCCACATCATTTGGTTTCTGGTGAATAGTTGTACCATTGGCAATCGTACAACATTTTTTTTATATAATTGTTCATCAGCTTACTCAAGGGTTGTACAGGTGCCACCAGCAGAGCAGGATCTATTTACTATTCTGGGGCACCTAAGATCACCTCCAGTTTTGAGTGGGGTTTGTGTTTCTCAGTATTCAGTTTTCTTTGTTGTGTTTTGTATACTGTGGTTTGTCTTTTGGTCTTTTTTCATTTTTTTGCCATGGCATTGATAGTTTATTTTCGACTCATGGGTTTAAATGTCCCTTTGGTATCTTTCAGCTCTCACTTGTAACAAAGCTATATTTTTTTCATCAGATAGCCGAGGCAAAGGTTTGTACATTACAAATAAATGTCTTGAATACAATTCAAATATGTAAGGAATGCTTTTTAACACTTCTGTGCAAATTTGATACCGTTTCATCAGCGCGATGTTAACTGAAGAGAAACACTACCCGTCTGTGTCTAGTACCCTTGCCAATTCTGCCACATAGACAATAAAAAATATGTACCTTTGTTATTTGGGTGATGCCTTTAATGTCCGTCGTCTTTCTTTAGGGTTGTAACACTTAACCTTTTGCATAAAAGTTTACAAATGTTGTTTGTTTTTACTTTCTTAGACACAAGTCAGACAGTTATGTTTATTTCAGCACATCGCACAGCTCTTTGAGATGAGTGAACAAGGTCGGTACCACTCCGTCGTTGTCGAATTTTACATGAATAAAACCCATACGATGTCTTTCCATTCTAATTGCATTGTAATGACATTTAGATCTGTTGAATTTTAACTTTTTTCCTTTGACTGATTTTATATGGTATGGTTTGTGGAATACGGAAATCATCTTTTCTTGGTTCTTAAAGTTATTCCGTAGACACGATCAAGATAAATGTAGTTTCATGTCTAGGGTTATTGGGTGTATATATAAATAAGAAGATGTGGTATGAGTGCCAATGAGACAACTCTCCATCCAAGTCACAATGTATAAAAAGTAAACAATACATATTTAAGGATGTTTTACATTGGCTACTCTATGTATAAATAGGATCCCTTATAATGGCGAGAAAACAATCTGCCTACTTAGCATCCACAATGCATAGATTGATTTTGTTACGCTTATCCTACTGTATTTGTATAACGTTGATGTTTTAGAATTTCATTTCAGTGGCCATGCAGTGGTGGGAGTACCAAGCACTATACTGGAGCCACCGAACCAGTATAAAAGTCGGTGGAGGTCCATCCGAGTTATGTACCTTACTATGTTCCTCAGCAGTGTATCATTCTCCATTTGTATGTCTTCCTTATGGCCATATCTAAAAATTGTAAGTATCCATATCGTTCATTACAATACAATGGCTTAACTTTCTTTTCTGAGAATTGCTCAGATCAAAATGTGATCACACTGGAATAAATGCAAAGAGAGATTGTTGTCAGTGATAACCTTTGCGTTAGGTGTTTATTACGGTGGAAGCTTACCATCCAAAGTAAAACATGTTGATGATTTCTAAACGTTAAAATCTGAAAATCGAAAAGCTTTGAAACTTGCTCGAAACATTTTGTAGGTGTATCCCAAGAAGCCATCAAATTCAACGATTGGTTAACTTCAAAAGAAGATTTATCGCTTTGAATTTTTATTAAATTTACACTGACACCACAGGTACTTGCCTCTGAAAAAAACCCTCTATACTTTAATATAACAACAGGGTATTATATTAAAGTATAGAGGTAATTTTTTTTCAGAGACAAGTACATGTGATCGACACTCAGTATATCAATTCACATGTTGACCATTGCTTTTTCACGAAAGTCGAATCTGGGTTTTCAAGGAGATAATATATATATATAATGTCTTGTATTGAAAGAAACTGCAGTGTGAACTTTAAACTGAACACTGCATTGTATTTAACCTTGGAACCCAATCAGTCGAAATGTTACTTTCCATTGCAATTTTTTTTTCGAGCAGATATCTCAATTCAACATGGGCATGCGCAACGTATGTAATTTTCAATAAAATAGTTTTCTTGGCGAGTATGATCTATGGTTACAGACACACATTCTGTAACTGAACATCTTAGTACATATATCAGTATTACATTGCAGCATTTACTTTGCTTGATATGGAAATCAGTACGATCTGGAGAATGTTCCCCTCACTGCATTGAATCAGTGGTGCTTTCAAAAATGGAGACGAGGACTGTACAATATAGCTATCTTAAGCCAGTGTCATTATGGTTTTTAATTGCAGTTCATGCAGGGCAATGTTTCCGTCTCTGTTCATTGGGGATAATTTCTATTTAAATTGCAATGGTAACAAACTAACAATAATTATATCGATAGCAGGAATTTCGACTGCAACTGGAAAAGGACATGTTAGACAGAGACTTTTAGCATATTACGCTAAAATATATTCTTTGTCATTTGAAAGATATTCAAACAAACCTGTGCTATATTCATAAAGTTTATACTAAAATTGAGAATGGAAATGGGAATGTGTCAAAGAGACAACAACCCGACCAAAGAGCAGAAAACAACTCAAGGCCACCAATGGGCCTTCAACGCAGCGAGAAAATCCGGTACTGTACACAGTAAACATATTAATCTGAAATTGTTTAGGGAGCTACATTTGATTTTTATGGGGGGGGGATGAAATTTGAAAAAAATAGGCAGGACAGGAGTTTTAAGTAAAAAAAAAGGCAGGATGAGATTATTTGCCAAAAAAAAGGCAGGATGACAATTTAGTTTAATAAAAAAAGTCAGGATAAACAAAAAAAAAGGCAGGACCGAATAGAGTGAAAAATAAAAAGGCAAGTCCGAATAGAGGGAAAAATAAAAAGGCAGGACAAAATTTTTCATCCTAGCCCCCCCAAAAAAATCAAATGGTAGCTCCCTTAGTGTGTAATTACTGCTTTATAAGGTGAGAGTTTTATTCTCCCTGCTCTCTTATAAAACCGAAGTAGAATGAAAGAAACCATTTTGCTGTCATTTTTTAATTCTTGTGTTTCAGCTTGATGGTTCAGCAAACACAGATTTCCTTGGATGGGTCGTAGCATCCTACAGTGTGGGACAATTAATTGCCTCTCCTTTGTTTGGAGCATGGGCAACTTACAGAGATAGGAGCAGAGAGCCACTAGTTGTTTCAATGCTGATCAATGTATTAGCTAATGTTCTGTATTCATACCTAGAGAGCATTCCTTCTCACCAGGCTGTGTATCTCATTTTATCAAGGAGTCTTGTAGGATTTGGAGCAGGTAAACAAAATACATTACTGATATATGCAAATGAAATACATTTGAGGTTGTATAGTTTTAGTGTTTTTTTAGTATTACCTAGAATTTGAAAACAAGTCTTCATTGTCTTAAATATTCTTTCTTTCTTTCTTTCATTCTTTTTTTTCTTTCTCTCCTTTCATTTTATTTAGGTTGATAAACTATTTTCCTAGAAATGTCACGGAATAGAAGTTCCAAATGGAAACAATATTCTGGAATATTATTTCCACTGGAATAAATATTACAGTAAATGTTCCTAACGGAACAGATATTATAACATTGTTTATAACAAAGGTTCCAGTGGAACTTCTGTTAGGCGGAACAAATATACGTTGACAGAAAGGTTGATAAACTATTTTGCTAGAAATCAAGGATTTGTATTTACAATACAAATCCTTGTAGAAATTAAGCTACATTGTTTGCCTGTAGGGAAATTAACACTGAATTATTTATTGGAAGCAACATCAGATACATATATATTGTAGTCAATATTTGGTCTAAAATAGCAATAAAATGTGAAGCCATGTAATTTTGGTTATCAAACATAGTCATAAAATATCTGGGAATAGTTTGGTTACTCTAAGAAGCTTATCTTATTCCTAATCTTCCGTTATAGTTAAATGATAAGCAATTTCTCTTTTAGGAAATGTTGCTGTTGTTAGGTCTTATGTTGCTGGTGCCACAACCTTGAAAGAAAGAACATCAGCTATGGCCATAATGAGTGCCTTTCAAGCAGTAGGCTTTATTATTGGACCAGGTTTGTAATAAGTATCTCTCAGGTTGTTGTCTTGATCACTGGACTATTTTTATAATGAGTACCTCTAAGGCTATAGACTTTATTACTGGTCAATACTGAACCAAGTTTGTAATGCATATTATTCAGGTTAAAGACTTTATTATTGGACCATCTTTGCAATGAGTGACATTTAGGCTGTATGATTTATTACTGGGTCTTGTTTATAAAGAGTGCTGTCCAGGCTGTAAGTCTTATCATTGGACCAGCTTTGTAATGAGTACCTTCCAGGCTGTAAACCTTATTATTGGACCAACTTTGTAGTGAGTACCTTCCAGGCTGTAAACCTTATTATTGGAACAACTTTGTAGTGAGTACCTTCCAGGATATAAACTTTGTTGTTAGACCACCTTTGTAATGAGTGCCTGTTATGCTGTGAGCCTTATTATTGGACCAGCTTTGTAATAAGTCTTTCTCTCTGTATATTATTGGACTACATTTGTAATGAGTGACTTTCAGGAAGTATTTTTATCCTTTATTATTGGAACATGTTTGTATTGAGGGTCTTTTAGTTTGTTGACTTATTTTTGACCCAGGTTTGAGCTTGAAGTTAGAAATTGAGGTGAAAATTTTAACATACTATTTTACAAAATATATATGTACACAAAAAACTGAAAATAGTAGTTGAAGTAAGAATGTGAATTAATCTCATTGTCATTATTTTTTATTTTATTTCTTTGTATGGTATAATTCTATAATCTAATTTTATTGAGCAAAATGCTCAATTCAAGATTTTTATGTCATGTAATTAACTGAGCCCTGCATGATATTTTTATAGTAATTATTGAGTTATTCACCTTTGAACTATATCTGTGTCCTCAAAATGTTCTTTGACATATAACTACATTAGTTGAGAAAATTGATGAAAGGACTATCATGCTATGTTGATTATCAAATACTACTTGAATACAAAAGCATTGAATATTCCTGTTTATATATTGTGGAAAATAACAACTAACAGTATGGGTTTTTCTCATTGTTGAAGGCCGTACAGTTGCCTATAATTGCTTACGTCCACTTTATTGAACTTTGGTGAATAGTTGTCTCATTGGAAATCATACCACATCTCTTTATTTTTATATTTACTTATATTTCAGTTATTCAGATAGCTATGGTTCCAATTGGTTACCCAGGACCAGTCCATCTTGAATCTGTTCATCTTGATCTTTATACATCTCCAGCAATCCTCAGTTCCATTGTGGGTGTAATTAACATTATACTTCTATTTGCTGTGTTCAAAGAACATCGTGTAGATAATGATGACGATATTAACTTCAGTGTACAAGACACACAGAGCATTGGTATGTTTGAGTTTACACACAATAGATTAGTCAGTAATATCAAATACTGTTTAAATTGCACAAAAAGGCAGATTTATTAGTGGGCATCATTACATTGAGTATAGAAATATCAAGATCAAAAGTCTATGATGAGAAATCATTGAACGGTTTTAGTGCCTTGAAAAAAATTACTAGTATGGTCTTTAAGAGAACCCATAATCATTTGACCAATGTTTTTTCATGCCATTATAGGGCATTTTCATTGAACTCTCAGTATTTAATTAACAATGAGAGGAAGATCATTAATCGAAAAAGATTTGTTTCTATTCATTTTCTTTTGGTTTTTCAATGATCAATGAAAATTACTTACTGTGGATTCATTTATTTTCGTGGGTACCAATTTTCGTGGATTAGGGAAAATTTGCATGTTCGTGGATATTTAATTTCGTGGATTTACCGAAAGTCTGCGTACAAGCCTATACAAAATATGTCATTCGTTGAACATTTAATTTCGTGGTTCACCTGTACCCACGAAATCCACGAAAATTGGTATCCAACGAATAATAATGAATCCACAGTATCACAAAAGACAGTATATTGTTTCTAGCATTGACTGCTGCAATATAATACAAAAAAACTACATGCATATTCAATTAACCAGTTGAACAATATATATAGAAAAGAAGATGTGGTATGATTGCCAATGAGACAACTCTCCACAAGAGAAAAGAAATAGAACATTGGTATAATGGAATATGTAGACAGCTCTCTCACAGGCAAAAAACCCTAACTGTAAAAATATAAGGGCATACACTACAGTTTACTAACAAGTTCATTTATGATTCATTTGCAAATTTAGTACTCCAGGAAGAAGGAAATAAATATTTTTTTCCTGATGAATATGTCAAGAAGGTTAACATGTGTCATTCTAGAAAAAAATATTACCTGCATTCCTATATAGTAATAAGTACTTGTTTATTATTTAGATTTATGTTGTAACAGTTTAATTAAGACACCTTGCATACACTTGATATCAACCTCCGTGTTATAAGCTGTCTTATCAATTAAAAACAGTTGAGTGAGCAAATGTTCTGTACAAGCTTGGTTAAGCTTTATCTAACCAAATGGTAGATTTCTGGGTTTTTCTTAAATGGGGAAAGTTTCCTTTTTAAAGTATTATGCTTTTTTCAATGGCATCTTACATACCTTAGGTTAATTAACCAAGTGTTTTTTCACAGGTTTTTTTTTAATTTAATTTATTCACAAATAAATGAAATTTCTCATGATTTGAGTTTATTTTTTTAGAGAAGAGTGTGATGCCAGAGTATACTCCAGATTATGCAGCAGTCGTCTCATCTATACTTCTATTTTTTGCTATTCTTTTTATTTTTGCTGTTTTTGAAACGTAAGTAGAATTTTTAGAAAAGTTTAATTCATCATTGTCATTCTTTAGACACTTGCAAGTGTAATAACTGTGTTGTTCTCCTGGACAGCCATTCCATGCAAGTCCTGAGTGTCAGATGCTGAGATTTAATTTAACTACATGGTTTTATAATTGATCTTTGATATCTTCTTGGCCTTTGAAATTAGCTTCAAATACACAATTCTGCATTGATTGGGAAGAACATTTTTCCCTGTTTATTAAAATGTAAAGCTCAAATGATTAATTATGATCATATTGCTTAAAAGTTTATATATTTATATGGTAAAACATTTCCTTGCTAAAATTTACATGTATATTATTTTCTTTTCTAGTAGTAACTCTTTATACAGGTTTCTCACTAAGGATTTTTTAAGGCGAATCCAGGGACTCGTCATTTTTGGTCAAGACGAGTCCAACTGAGAAGATAAAATGTTATTGCTATATGGTTTATTATTTCAGTCACCATGACAAAAATAAAGCAAGGAAATGACATCAAGTTTAGATTATCTTTGAACTTTTGTAATAAAATGATGATGTATGTGGTCAGTTGATATAATCTTGATGCATCTTTGGACTCACCAGTTTTGAAAATAATGAGTCCAAACAGATTTTCATGAGTCCAGGACTCATGGACTTGCCTTAGTGAGAACCCTGTTTATATAATATAAAAATTATGTATTTTACCTAAATTGTTTTGATGCCAATAAGCAACGTTTTCAGTTGTATGGTTAAGATAATGTGTTCAAGTAGTAATTAGTATCATTACAATATAATTCTGAGTATGATAGCAGTGTTATATATTGTTTTTAATTGAAATGATACATGCTTGATAAAGCTTTACCCAGCCAAATGGGAGATAACTCCTTGCATTATTTTTTTCATTACAAATTCCTTGTTCTTTACCGGTAGTTATTTGTTCATCTTTATTGTTTTTTTGTTGAATGAGGAAATTTAGTTTCCTGTCTACATTTTTTCGTCCACTTATTGTGATAGTACTACCAGTGGACAGTTTTGAAACATTTATAAATTTGCACTTTTGGTAATGGTTAAAAAAAAAAAAATTGTAGTAAATGAATACTTACAAAACAGAATAGTTCCACTAATAAAATTGTCCTTCAAAATAAAATGGTGGAATCCTATGAAACATCTATTCAATGTAATTACATTTCTTTTTTTTTATTCCAATCTGTGACAATGATTACAATTCTATCACATGTTTTAGAATTATCAGAACATAATTTCCAGATATCAGATATAATATATTTTTTACAGAATTGGCACACCATTGACCATGCACATGTATGCTTGGACTAAGGAAAATGCTACCCTGTACAATGGTATTATCCTAGGTGTTGGAGGATTGATATCTATAATGGTTTTTATTCTCATAAGGATATTGTCCAAAAGGTAAGTCATAGATATTTCAGATTTTGTCAATATACTGTCAATTAAAAACTTCTAATGAACATTTAAAAAAAAAATTCCCATAGTATTTGAATGACAAGAACAAAAATGTCTTTACAGTTAAAGAAAAAGTGATAAATAAACAATGTTAAGCACTAACTTATTTGTGCATGTATTAATTTTTTTATGCTGTTGCCAATTATTTTCTTAATTAACATACAAGTATATATATGTCAAAGAGGAAATTTTCCTTACTATTGAGAATCAATGAAAATTGTTTTTGATACAAAAAACATGATTAGTTTATGCTATAATTTGACTGTTGTGGTTTTTAATTTTATAACACATGTTATATTACCACAAAGTAAGTACACTGACCACTCAGTACATATATTATATTAGAAATATATTTCAATTAGCTTTAAGTTTAAATAAATTGATCACAGTTGACTATTAGAGATTATTTTCATTTAAATTTGATATGTGTTTATATTTAATTTTTCAGGTTTAATGAAAGATATATATTACTTGGTGGATTTATCATGTGTTTATTAGGATTTGTGGTTTATCTCCCTTGGGGAGACAATTATCCATCCTCACAAACTGCTAGTAAGATATATTTATATATACATAATTAGCAGTTGATGATATAGTGAAGAAATAGAAAATTGTATACTGCTATTTAATGTGAATAAACTCATCATAGATACCAGGTTTAAAATTGTGTACGCTAGCCGCTCGTTTCATCTACAAATTGAGACTCATCAGTCAGACGCTCGAATCAAAAAAGTTAAAATACGAAGTTGAAGAGCATTGAGGACCCAATATGATTAAACTTTTGTTAGAATATTCTGTGATAATTAGAATTCTTTAGTTTGACATAGAGTTAAAACTATTTTGAAGAAAGCCTACTATTGCCTTATAGTCATTTCATACATCCGTTGTAAATAGTCAATAGTATATACATGCTCACATGAATAGACATATCTTACCTCAATTGTTGTCGTCATCCTCAAAGCACTTTATGAAATTGAATAATTTGTAGTATATGCTTCCAAAGTAAATATTTCAACTTTGCAAAATAGTAGCTTGGGTTGAAGACATACTGGTCATGCACTATGACCACAACCTTAGCTAAAAGATTGGCACAACTATTGCATTATTCCATAAAATTTAATAATGAAAAACAGCCTTCCTCATTATCCTTTAATCTGACAACTAAAGTTTTGCTCTAGTATTTATTACAATAGAACAACAATAGTTCTGCTCTTAACTGTAAATATTACTTAATTTTATGAATAAAATGAGATGTGTGGGTAGACATCAATGAGACAGCAAGCAAATGGCACAAAAACCAAAAGACATTTTCTTGAATTATTAGCTCACCTATCATCATTCTTTTTTATTTGTATTAACTATTTAAAAAAGATATATACACATACTATTTATCTAATTTATGGATAACTTTAGTACATTTGTACATATTAAAACAAAAAATTAAACAAAGATATAAGAGGAGACAACTCATTTCTTTCATCATTATTGCAGTACTATAAAACAACAAATCATATAAATATGTATTTGTATCTTGTTATTTTGTAGCAATTAGTCCTCCCAGAAGTCTTGGACCAAATATTACAGATTTTACAACAAGTATGAATACTGTTGAATTAACAACACCATCCTGGATAGATCCCACTACACAGCAACATAGTTCTATAGTAACACAATCAATAAGTACAGTAGAGAAAGCTTCTCATTTAACAGTGCCAGTGACATCGCAAAGTATTAATGTGACTTCTCATTCATTAGATAGTATGTCAACAATGCCACTAACTTCAGACTCTCAGCATACGGAGGTCTCAACAGTCTCTGCCAGTACCAAAAATAAAATTATAAGTGTAATAAGTGATATTAATCGTCAAAAAAGAAATTCAGTTTTATATTTTGAACAGGAAAACAAAATGGAAGATTTAGTATATTTAGATTTCGCATTTTCCAATATGACAACAGAAATGCCGTTTAATTTAACCACGACACAAAGTAATCATTCTGACACTGGACATGAATCTACTGGATGTCCCGACACCTATAAGTGGTGTTCCTACACACCCATTGTTACTTTCCCTCAGTTTATATTTGGTACTTTAATGATTGTGATTGGATATCCTACATGCAATGTTATGACTTATACGCTGTATTCTAAAATACTTGGACCAAAACCTCAGGTAATATTCACATCTTAACCTATTTTCTTGAAAATTGAAATTGGTTCAGTTTTATGAATTAAGGAATACCATCTTGATAAATGTACTACATTCTGTAAATTCACTCCATCCTTATTCAAATATGATTTATCTACAGCTATTAAACATTTAATTTGTGGTTCACCTTTTATCAACAAAATCCACAGAAAATTTTAGTACCCAACAAATAATAATGAATCTGCAGTATCCCTTTCAAAGTATTTTTGTGACATTTTTTTTTAAAGAATTTTAAATGTGGATAAATTTTGATCAGTTATAAAATCACTCAATGTAAATAAATACATTTTATTTGAAGACAGGTACCTTGGTCCTTTGAAACTCAATTTTTTCAATATGTGCAAGAAATGAATAAAGAAGATCATGATTAAGTCAGTCCAAGAGGATTTGCAAAAATAGCAGTGTAAACCCATAAATCTTTGCTGATTTTTGATAGTCTTCAGTTACTACATTCTAGTTGATAATGTTTAAAGGTATGCATCTCATTTTAACATATCATTTTTATATAATTTCAGGGTATGATGATGGGATGGTTGACAGCCTCAGGAAGTCTGGCTCGAACAGTAGGACCTATATTTGTTAGTCAAGTTTATAATGCATATGGACCTAGAGTGACTTTTGTGTCGATGATAATAATTGTATTTTTAGCCATTTTGATGTTATTATTTGTATTTAAAAGACTTGTACCCTTTACATTTACAGCAGAGATCTCAAAAGCATCAAAAATGTAATATCAAAATATCAGTATAAATTTTGTACAAATTGCCAAACATTTCTTACTTTATTTTCAAGTAGTTTAGAGTTAACAGCGATTTGTTGTGTATTATGGCTTCTGAAATGATTTTTATCCTTCCTTTTATTTTCCTACGAGTGTTTTCTTCAGATAAACTTTATATAATTGAAAATTCAGTAATAATGTTGTTCACTTGCATCTTGTTCTGTAATTTAAAATTAAAAAAAAGCTACAAGTCAATCAAGTACTGTATTTCAATGATGTTATTTTATGAGAACTTTCCAGAATGCAAGTGTTTCTTACTGTATAGACTTACTGATTGCCAATACTTTTTTTGTTGTGTATGTTTATAGATTTAAAAAGTAATGTGTATGATGTGGAAGGATGGAGTGAATTTACAGAATGTCGTACATTTGTCAAGATGGTGTTCCCTAATTCATAAAACTGAACCAATTTCAAGTTTTATTAAGTTGTACCTAATTTCAGTTCATTGATTCCTAAAGTTTATTCACTGTGTTTTTTGAAGGCAGAACTTTTTAACCAATTTCTGATTGTTAATAATCCTGTACAGTTTTTATGTTAATTAATCTCAGATATTTTGAATTTACAAACCTGTTGGAAGTCTGTGATTTGTTGTATTCAAGACCAATATAAGATAAACACTTTTTTATGGGAACTTCAATTTTTTTTATAACCATATCATTAAACATATGATACTCACACATTTGTTATTCAGTAAGACATAATAAGACATGACATATTATTTCACTAAAGCCCCCACGTACAACATTTTTTAACAAGCAATAAAAGTGTGAACTTATTTACATTAGAACAACATGGTAAACAAAGGTGCAATAATAGTATATATAATGAATAGTGTTATGTGACAGGAAGTTCAAATTAAAGTAACATGATTAAGCACATGTATTAAAAGATTTTAATAACACTTTTGCAAAATTTTGCTATTCTAGTATTTATAGTGTAAATAAATCTGATGTATTCATCAGTTCTTTGAATTTTAAAACATTTCAGTTATTACATATATTTAAAGGTAAATATTTAGCTCTTACATTGTTAAAAAGGTACATTTCAATAAGAAAGAAACTCATCACCAAGCTCATTAGCATTACAGAGATTACAATGTCTTTCAGTTCAGTAGCTTCATAAGAAACAACACATTTTGAGTTATCTCCCATTAACAGCAGAACAATATATTTTTATTTGGTGTTATAATACAGTATGAATTTCAAATTTATTCAGTTATGTTTAATTTATTATTGTAAACAGATGTCATTAAAACCTTATTACTTTTATTACTTTGATTATAAAAATATAAAAATAAATCATGGCATGGTTTTCTCAAGCTATGACATAATTTTCTTTTTAGATGGTGTTTTTTATTAAGTCATATTTAAAATGTTTTATAATCCAAAAAATATGTAAAATTTTGGATTTCTAATTTTCATAAAAGATCTGTCATAATGAAAATAGGAAAAAACCAAACTGCAGGAAACATTTAATGTTTTATACAGTATTCAGGTCTTGGGTAGGAAATTCACCTATTATTTCATATAAAAACATGTTTTTAATAAAATTCTACTGAAGATATTTCATTGAATACAGAAATGTCTGCATGCAGTTTCTTGCAATAATTATGAAACATATTTACCATTACTATTTTTAGGGAAATTCCTGTTTAAAGACAAATATGAATTTCTCTACACAAAAAAATCATATGGCTATATAGGAAAAAATTTCTTAATTTCAATATTTGTATACAAATAATGATTTCTCAGAGATGACATGTCCAAAAAATATTTCAAAATAAGCATAAATAACTACACATTTATGAATTTAACATTTAAAATTTCATTAAATCTGACCTCAAATTAGTTTTTGACAATGTTTTTAAAAAATGTGTTTTTATATGAAATAATAGGGAAATTTCCAATAGGTGAAACACTTTTGACCTAAGACACTGTATTGTTGAAATTGAAAAACTGAAATATTTTTTCTTCATTAAATACATGTATTTACATTTCTTTTATGCATAAAAATGTATTTGCATCATTGTATGTAGAAATCAATTTGCATGATAAACATTCACCAGCCAAAAAGAGTTCAATGAAGGATATTTGTCGACACAAAGCATCAAATTTCTGCTATAATATTTGAAAGTATATAAATTTACAATGATGTTATTAGAATTCTGAAATTGTGGTTAGTGTCTGATTGAATCTCTTTTCAAGGGATAATGTCAAACTGTTATTTTAAGTACTACTTGATGAAAATTACAAGTTGAGAAATATAAAACATCATTATGCTGATAGCATGCTTTACATTTTAAAAAAAGTTGTTGATATTGTTGATAGCCTGGTACAATTAACACTATTTAATTAAAATATTATGTCTTTATAAATGGAATGATTTATTTATGAAAATTTATTTTGCTGTATTAAAGAGAGAGAGAGAGAGAGAGATTCAGGGTGCTTCTATTTTTCCTTTACTGTGATAATCATGATTTTGTTGTTATTTATAATGAAAATTACCCATGCAGTTATGTTTTCATTGTTATATTAGATTCTATACATATTGATGTTATCATGAAATACTTGCCGAAATTAATAGGAATGTGTTTCATTTTTTATTCTCCGTGAGTACAGGAATTGTTTGACATTACAATAGAACCAATTTTGGACCTTGATGACCAATTTTACAATCTGTGTAAAGGGCTTTGCTTGGTTTATAAACCAGAGAGTACTCAAGGACTTGTTAACATCTCCACATATTCATGTGGCTCCCATGTCAGGAACTTTATCAGTGGTTGTATCCCCTCCAACATTTTCATGTGCCTCCCATGTCAAGAACCTTGTCAGTGGTTGTATTTCCCCCATTCCCCAAAGATATTCATGTGCTTCCCATGTCAAGAACCTTGTCAGCGGTTGTATTTCCCTCTCCACTCCCAGCATAATCATGTGCCTCCCATGTCAGGAACCTTGTCATTGGTTATTCCCCCCCCCCCCCCCCCCCAACATATTCATGTGCCTCCCATGTCAGGAACCCCCCATCCCCCAGCATATTCATGTGCCTCCCATGTCAGAAACATTGTCAGTGGTTGTATTTCCCCCCTCCCCAGCATATTAAGGTGCCTCCTCCCATGCCAGGAACCTTGTCAGTGGTTGTATTTCCCCTCCCTCTCCCCCTAAATATTCATGTGCCTCCAATGTCAGGAACCTTGTCAGTGGTTGTATTTCCCACTCCCCCAACATATTCACGTACCTCCCAAGTCAGGAACCTTGTTGGTGGTTGTATTTCCCACTCCCCCAACATATTCATGTGCCTCCCATGTCAGGAATCTTGTCAGTGGTTGTATTTCCCCTCCCCCACATATTCATGTGCCTCCCATGTCAGTGGTTGTATTTCCCCTCTCCCCAAGATATTCATGTGCCTCTCATGTCAGGAACCTTGTCAGTGGTTGTATTTCCCACTCCCCTCAACATATTCATATGCCTCCCATGTCAGGAACCTTGTCAGTGGTTGCATTTCCCCCTCCCCAAGATATTCATGTGCCTCCCATGTCAGGAATCTTGTCAGTGGTTGTATTTCCCCTCCCCCACATATTCATGTGTCTCCCATGTCAGGAACCTTGTCAGCGGTTGTATTCCCCCCTCTCCCCAACATATTCATGTTCCTCCCATGTCAGGAACCTTGTCAGTGGTTGTATTTCCCCCATCCCCCCAACATATTCATGTGCCTCCAATGTCAGGAACCTTATCTGTGGTTGTATTTACCACTCCCCCAAACATATTCATGTGCCTCCCATGTCAGGAACCTTATCAGTGGTTGTATTTCCCACTCCCCCAAACATATTCATGTGCTTTCCATGTGAGGAACCTTGTCAGTGGTTGTATTTCCCCCTCCCCCAGCATATTCATGTGCCTCTCATGTCAGGAACCTTGTCAGTAGTTGTATTTCCCACTCCCCCAAACATATTCATGTGCTTTCCATGTGAGGAACCTTGTCAGTGTTGTATTTCCCCTCCCCCAACATATTCATGTGCCTCCCATGTCAGGAACCTTGTCGGTGGTTGTATTTTGTTAGATCTCAGCTGTTGTTTATCTCAAAGGGGATTTAAGGTTTAAAGTAGATCTTCAATAGTCTTTTAAGATTCATTCATAACTGTTTTATACAAGGTGATTTAAAGCTTGATGTATCGGTATTACATAGACATTCTGTGTTGACTATTTTAACCTCTAGATGTCTTGCGAATTTTTTGTGTTGTTACATCCTCTTTTACTCTAATGTAACCTACAGAATTAGACTTATCACTGAGGTTGTACAATTATTGGCAACATGACGTATGCCACATGTGGAGCAGGATCTGCTTACCCTTCTGGAACACCTGAGATCACCCTGGTTTTTGGTAGGGTTCGTGTTGTTCAGACGTTTTTCGTTTTTTGCCATGGCATTGTCAGTTTGTTTTCGATTGATGAGTTTGAATATCCCTTTGATATCTTTCGCCTCTCTTTGCTACCTCAATGACATATATCCAAACATGTTTATAGTCTTTTTGTATTTGAGTAACACATCTTTTGAACATCAAATAATATGTTTGTATTGAACTTATGAAGGATGAATGTGTTGATATTAAGCAGGGAACAAACATCTTATTCATTAGCAAACTAGTTAACTTACACCACCTGCAAAAAGAGTTCTCTTGTCTGTCCATGTGCCTTGCTTTATTACTGGAACAAATCTATATAAACCATGCTTTATTACTGGAACAAATCTATTTAAACCCTGCTTTATTACTTGAACAAATCTATATGAACCATGCTTTATTACTGGATTAAATCCTTATAAACCCTGCTTTATTACTGGAACAAATCTATATAAACCCTGCTTTATTACTGGAACAAATCTATATAAACCCTGCTTTATTACTGGATTAAATCCTTATAAACCATGCTTTATTACTGGAACAAATCTATATAAACCATGCTTTATTAATGGAACAAGTCTATATAAACCATGCTTTATTACTGGAACAAATCTATATAAACCCTGCTTTATTATTGGAACAAATCTATATAAACCATGCTTTATTACTGGAACAAATCTATATACTGTTACCCTGCTTTATTACTGGAACAAGTCTATATAAATCCTGCTTTATTACCAGAACTAGTCTATATAAACCCTGCTTTATTACTGGAACAAATCTATATAAACCCTTCCTTATTACTAGTTTAAATCCTTATAAACCATGCTTTATTACTGGAACAAGTCTATATAAACCCTGCTTTATTACTGGATTAAATCCTTTTATTATATACTTAGTAGTAAATACAGATAAATTGTATGTGTAATACAATCATTGGCAAGCTGCGCGTGCTGTATCAGCCACCGGTGATGATATCGATATCAGCACGGTTGCAAAGGCTTTATCACACCTTTCATCTGTATGAAGTCACATCATCGATTGCAGTCACTGTTGCAAAGGCTTTATCAAACCCCCTAATCTGTATGACCTCATGTCAAACCTATAATCTGTATGATGTCATTTCAAACCTCCTTACCTGTATGACGTCATGTCACATAAAAACATCTACGTGAGGTATATATATATAATAAAGTGTATATGATATGGCTTTTTCAATATCACACACCGTATCAACCCTCAACCAATATTATGAATCCCTCGAGCAGAGCTCTTGGGATTATATTGGTGTCTTGTGTTGATACGGTGTGTGATATTGAAAAAGCCATATGATATTCTCTATATAAACCATGCTTTATTACTGGAACAAATCTATATAAACCATGCTTTATAACTAGATTAAATCCTTATAAACCATGCTTTATTACTGGAACAAATCTATATAAACCATGCTTTATTACTGGAACAAGTCTATATAAACCTTGCTTTATATTGGAACTAAATCCATAACAACACTTCAAAAGCTGTAATGTTGAAGAATCTTGAGAGAATTATGGTATATCACTTGAAACAGAATGAGAATGTTATACTAAAAATTCAGAAAATTTTGTAATGTTCTGATATTTTGTGTTGAACTTGTCATTTTGCGTTTGTTTGAGACATTTATATTCTCTGATGTTAATCTAACGTGTTTACCTTCCTTATAACATCTAGTCAAACCTCACCATTAATAGAACTTTAGTAGACACATAAGTACCATATCTAGTAAGGCCGCTGAAGTGTTCTTAAAAAAAAGATTCATGAAAATTGCAAAATCTAGGAAGTTTACCATTTATATTTAATCCGTTAACACTGCAATATAAAAAATAAGAAGATGTGATATGATTTCCAATGAGACAAACTCTCCACCAAAGACCAAATGACATATAGGTTAGCAACTATAGGTTACGGTACGGACTTCCACAATGAGCATTACCCATACTGCATAGTAAGCTATAAAAGGCCCTAAAAAATTTGTGTTTCCTGTGCATTGGTAGAACAGTTATTAACTTTTTGGCCTGAAATGGCTTAAAAAGTATTTCTTCAAATCATTCAAGATCCATTACTATTGATCACCAAAAGTAAAAATAGTCCATATTGAACTTGACCGTAAATTTGTCATCAGTAACAACTTCAATGACCTTTTACCCACCCATCCCAATACAATACAAATCAATGACCAGATGTTCATCTGAAACCTGCTAAAAAAGGGAATAAAAAGTACGCAACCATTGAAGATTAATAACATTTATTTCATTTCAAATCACAATTACATTAACAAACAATATCACATAACAATTAAATGAAGGCCTCAACCACTAGTATCATCTTCGTTGTTGTCATGTGTCGTAGAAAAAATGATGTGTAAAGTTACTGTAAGATTAAATAGTGTAATATTACCTTTCATTATGTGAGATGAAAACCATGATCAGACAGAATCATGGACTGTGTGATTATCCATCTAAACACATTTATAAAAATGGCGATAATCTTATATATTAAACAGGAAAATTCGGCTTACAGAAAAAAAAGTTATATCATTGCCTCATCCAGAAGTAATACAGTACACTCTGTTAAAACAGTGCTTAAGTGCCAGTCTGCCTAAGAATCAGGCAGTGGTGAAAACATGACAAACAAAAACCCACTCAAGTTGACATTAATTTATGTTCAAATTGTATAATGGTGCACAAATATAACATTCGTTTCCTTTACCTGTTCTGGTAATTCAAGATATAATTTGGTTGAAATGCACTAAAAATTAAAATTTAATGGGAGCTAACTCCGTTGTTTGCTATCATTCTCGTTTCTAACTCAGGATAAGGGTAACTTAAAATTAGGATGGTTAGGTCGGTGGGTTTTTTCAGCCATGTTTTGATTTGTTTCAAAATTGCCTCATTCTTACAAAGACTGGCACTTAACAGATGAATTTTATAATATGATCAATTCTTTCACAAGCAATGCAAGATTTCAACAATAGTAAATTAATTTTTCCATATATATGATACAAGTGTCTGTTCAGAAATTTCGTTTACAGTCAATCAATTTTTGTTCCATACATTTCAGTCAACATTAAAAGTGTTGAAATGGTCCAACATGGTAAAAAAATATAGCATGGTCTTTTCAATAAATCCTTTCATCAATATCT